TAGGGCTAGCTGGATCCTTCATGCCTGCTTGAAACAGCAAGGTGTAGGGCACAGATGTGAGGGCCTCCCTCCAGCAACCACTGTGTCAGAGCTGGTGGGGGGATGACTTCTTCCCCTCCCACCTGAACCATCAAATCATCAGTAGGGCAGCATGCCCATCAGAACTTTGACCATTGGGAGTACCTCTTCAGAACCAGGCAGACTCAGAGTCAGTGACTGGCCCTGTCCTTTGTCCCTGGTGGGCTTGACTTCTGGATATCCCTGTGGCTCAACATCCTCCCTGCTGTCCTGGGGCCAAGTCTGATGCCTCAGTCTTCTGTGGACCATGGGAGCCAAATACACCAGGGCACAGTGAATACCCTCCAGGTGCTAGGTGGCCCCCAGGAGTGAGTGAAGGCATCCTGGACTGACCCCAGCTTGCTACTCCTGCTTCCTCATCCAGGAGTAGCCTCTCAGCAGGCTGCAGCCACCAAAATGCCCCAGCTTGGGCCTTCACACTAGAGTGGCACCCCAAATCTCCACTTCCACAGTTGAGCTCCACCTCAAGTATTCCAAGCAGTATCCATGGCTGGGAAAGGTGTCCCAACACCAGAGCCAGCAGCCAACTCCAGGACATGGGCCAGAGAATGGGCCTGGGTGAACGGACATGAGTCTGGCTCATAACTGAGGGATAGATGTGCTTGGTAAAGTTAAGGCAAAGTGGCCAGGTGAAGGTCATCAAGGCAGTCCTAGGTTCTGGAGACCCTGGAATGCTCTCAGTTTGAGTACCTGCCCTCACCTGGAGGAAGGTGGCCAGAAAGAGAAAGTGCTGAAGTCCCTGGGGATAGAGTATCTCTGATGAAAATTTCTTTTAGACAAATATCCTCAACACACAGTAGGCTCAAGGCAGAGTGGCTTCGGGTCATGTGCTTTGAATAGTGCCCTATGCCAAGGCCAGGGAGGTATGGCCACTCCCAGGCAGGGGCAAGTGGCTGGCAGGGCCACAGAGTCCATTCCAGATCTCCAAGGCCCTACCCACATCCTCTGGGAAGCTCAGCGCACAGTACACACATCCAGGATGCAGAAGCGAGCTCGGCAGGTGGGGCAAGGCACACGGCTGGCCAGCCAGGTGTCAGGGCGCTGGGGGTCCTGGCGACTGGCAAACCACTTGCCCATGCAGGTGAGACACCACATGGGGCGGCAGTAGCACTGCTGGCACTCGCCTACGGCAGGCTCCTGGCACGTCTTCACCAGCTTCACACTGGCACGTGTCTGCATGCAACCAATGCAAGCTTCCAGCTCCTGCAGGGGTTGCATAGGGAGCTGTAGGAGCCTGGTGACATGTTCTGTGAGGTCCATCCAACCCTCCCCTCAGGATAGCACTTACCTGGCTGCTAGGCACAGAGTAGGCTGGGTTGACCTCCACCAGGGAGGCAAATGTCTCCAAGAATAGGTCACCCAGACTCTGGTGGATGACTACGTTGGCTGCACTGCGGATGGGTGCCCGGAGCTTCTCACATAGCTCGCCATATTCTGTCGAGTTCAGCCTGCAGGAGATGCAGCCTGCTGGGTTGGGTTCCTCTGCCTGAGGGGCCTCGACCTGGAGCTAGCCAGGACCCACAGGCAGGCAGGGTCCAGGGAAACCAGCTGCCTTCAAGGGTGCCCAGGACAGCAGCCAACAATGATGGCCCTAAGGCCAGATCCTATAAACTCACCCCCAGGGCCAGGAGGGGAGAAGCTGGGAGCCAAGTTGACACCAAATCATGGTCCTGGGCTGTCCTAAATGTGTTCCTAGAAACTTAGAGAGCAGAAGGAGCAGCACATGGGGAAGCTAAGAGCAGCAAGATCCCTGAAGGAGGGTGATGCTGGAAGGTCAGATGACCCATATCACACAGACCCCAGGAGTGCTGCAGCATTCACCACCACACCCAGTGCCTCCCAAGGGGCAATGAAGGCCACACCCTGCAGCAGACCACAGCCACCACACACTTACCGGATATCAAAGGGTTGCACAGAAGGACTGGCGCTGACCACACAGATGGTGAGGAGCTGCACAGGCAGGTTTGAGTCTGGTGAGAGCTCATGCTGCCGAGACTCTGTCACTGTCAGGTGTACATCCTGCTGTTGGGCCACGTGCACACGGTATGTGGTAACCTTCATCACCCATGTGTCTGTCACAATTACACGGGCACCTGGCACACCAGTAGCAAACTTATCAATCCGCCGGAACTCAGTGTTGATGGAGGCGGCCACGGCCTGCCAGCCGGACTGTGGGAGGGCATAGAGGGCCAGGGTGCGGGCCAATGGGTGGCAGGTCCACTGGTCCTGGGACCAGTAGTAAATCAGGATGCTAGCAACAGAAGGGAGGGTCACAGCCAGCAGGAGGAAGAGCTGCCAGGCCTCTGGGGCCTGGCTGGGGGAGTAGAGTCGCTTTTCTGAAGCCGCGCAGCACATGCCCACATAGTAGCCTGCAAAGGAGAAGGTGCCTCAGGGAAGCTGGAGCTGTCAGGTGCCATCCTCCTCTTGCAGTGGCCATCTGGAGGTCACAGTGCTGCCCTTCGGCTGGCAGAGGGGAGTGACTACATCCTCTCTTGACACTAGCTCTGGGCCTGGCTAGCTACCAGGACAGGTGGGCTTCAGCATTCCTGTACCTCCACACCACATTAGGGGGAAGGTTTTCAATTTACTTCTTTAGTTTTACGTGAGAGTATTGAAAAAAAAAAACACGGACTAGAAAACCAAAAGTAAACACAAAGACCTTGTCACAAGGCTGATCCTAGGGGTAGCTACCTGGGTCAGATCTTGGTCTTTCCATTCCACCCTGAGAAGGCAGATCTGACAACACCCATCCCAGAGCTGGGACACTTTATGCAAAAATGTAAACAAACCAGGTATAACAGTGCATGCGTGTAATCCCAGTAGCTCAGGAGACTGAAGCAAGAAGGTCTCAAGTTCCAGGCCAGCCTCAGCAACTTAGCAAGGCAGGCCCTAAACAATCTAGTGAGACCCTGTCTCAAAATTTAAAAAAGGGGTGGAGATGTAGCTTAAATGTGAAGCACTGCTGGGTTCAATCCCTAGTACCAAAACAAAAAGGTGAACAAGTACAGAAAGAATAATGAAGTATGTTGCAAGGACAAAGGAACTAGCTCCAGGGCCCTACTGCCACATCCGCACAATGGAAACATCAGAATGAATAACAAAGTAGATGGTAAGGGACTACACAGGCAGGCTCCCATTTGCAAAAAACAAACAAAACAGTAAATGTTTATTCTGGCCAAATCACTATGTGTTAAGATAATTTGTTATGTAGCAATAGATAACTAACATCTATGAAACTTGGAAGCTTTTTGAAAGTTGCAAACACCAGTTGGTGAGACAACAGGCTGTAAGGCCAGCTCTGCTGTCTGCTATAGGTATGTTCTCCATGAAAGACTTGCGTGCCCGGCTTTCCTTTGGTGCAAAGGGAGTGCCCATGGGGAGGGTGCAAGTACAGGGTCTTCAGAAACCCACCCCACATCCTTCAAGGGAGCAACATGGTCAGGAAGTCCTGCTCCACTTTCCTCATCTGCCTCACAGGACATGGGGTCATCAGGGCAAGAAACCAACTGCCACAGCAGTCCCATCTTCATCTCTCCAGCGGACTCCCCTCAGCCCTCCTTCCCTTGGAGGTAGGCCTGGGTGCCTCCAGCTCTCCATTACCCAACTCCACCGGTGTCCACAGAGCAGCAGACGTGGCACTGCCGTTTGTCCTCCCAGACCTCTTTCTCCCAGTGCCAAAGAACTCCTGCCTAGTTCCCTAACGTGCCCCAACGCTCTCCAAATCCATCCTCTAACCGACTGACAGCTCCGCCTCCCAGAGACCCCACTAGCAGCTGGGTCACTGTTCAGCACTGCCCTGGACAGCTCCTGAGTGTCCTGGCCTGGCAGAGGACTCTGCATCTATATGGCCCCCAACTTCGAGCTGCCCATCGGCGCCGGCTCTCCCCACACTCATCTTCCAGGGACCCTCGCCCAGGCGCCATCCACCACGGCAGGCACGGTAGCGCGATCCTGTACCCCAGCCACCATGACGGTTCAGGACTCGAACCCGACTGTGCCGGCCGCCTTTCCTACCCGCATTGACCGGCTGCAGGGCCGGGCCGGGCGGGGCGACTGGGCACCCCGGGGTCTCGCAGCAAGCCCCGCCCGCGCGCAGGGGGCTCACCGAGCGGCAGCAGCGAGTGGCACAGCAGCGTGGCGGCCGTGCGGCGCAAGTGGTAGGACACGAAGGCGGCGTCCTCGCTGCCCAGCCAGCCCGACAGCAGGTTCTGCACCGTGAGCCCGGCCGAGTGGAACTCGTTGGGCGTGAACACGAAGCACACGGCGAAGACCAGGTAGGCGAGCGTGAAGGTCACCTCGGGGCTGTCCATCGCGCCGCCACCCCCAGAACGGGGAAGAAGCCAGAGCGTCGGATCTCGGGCAGTTAGCGGTAGCAGCCGCCCAGGCCAAGCCAGGCCACGCCAGGCCCCCCGCGGGGCACTCTGGGAGAGCGAGTCCGCGTCCAGCCGCCCGCGGGGCACTCTGGGAGAGCGAGTCCGCGTCGGGCCGCCCGCGGGGCACTCTGGGAGGTTGTGTTTTTTGCCCAGCTGCCCCCAGCAAGGCGCCGGGACGGAAGTTTCTAGTCGCCCTGGAAGTCCCCGTAATGGTATGGGGGGGCAGCCCTGGAGAGGGGGGCTGCACCTAACCCCACTTCACAGGCGAGAAAACAGGCCAAAGCGAGCGCCTCTCTGGCCCCGGCTATGCCGCGCTGCACGCTCTAGTGCGCAGCAGAGCCCGAAACTCGTGGGCAAAGTCTCGAGCTCCGGGCCACGGCTGCTGCGGTCCCTCGGCACCGGAAGCGGAATGGGCGGTGCGCGAGGGGTGGGGCCAAAGTGCCCTCCCATTGGTTCCCGGCGCCCTGTGGGCCCGCCCCCGGCGGCACGCTGATTGGCCGAGTGGCGCCAACCGTCGGTATTTGAATCCGCGGGCGCGGCGGGCGGCGACCGCGGGCTGGGAGGTGGCGGCTACTGGGTCCTCTCGGCGCGGCTTCTTGGCTCGGCTGCCGGCGCGGAGCCGGGGCGGCTCTCTTCCTTCTGCGCGGCGGTGGTCAGGTAGGCGGCGGCCGCGGGGCGCAGTCCCAGCCACGAGGACCCCCACCCGGATCCTGCGGCGGCGCCGGCCCCGAGCCCGCCTTCCCTGGCGGGGTCCCGGCGCGTGCGAGGCTCCTCCTGAGCCCCGAGGGCTCTGGCCGCGCCTGCTCTGCGACCCTTCCTGGCTCCCTGCGAGGGCTCTCGCGGCGCTTCGGAAACTCGGCCCGCGCGGTCCCTGCCAATCCGCGCAGCCTCGGAGGGGGCGGCCGCTTCGGAAGCGCTCTTGCCGGCCTCCAGACGTGGCGGGCGGCGTCCTCTCGGAAGCAGTAGCCCGAGCTGACTTCTCCCTCAGCTCCAGCCCCCAGGTGACCTCATCTTGCCTGGAGTGTCACCTGGAAGCTGACTCACAAATGCGTGCTTGTAGCCTTAAGTGTTTGATTTCCAACAGCTGCGGGGTCGCCAGCCCTCTTTCGATAGCTGTAGGCAGGATGTCTCATCCCCACCAGCTCCTGCTGCCCTCCCTAGCAGCAGGGTTGCTTAGCTGCCTTCCAGGGGTCATCCTTCATGCTTTCTCCTGTTCCTCACCTGAGGGCCATCACCAACTCCAGGTTTTCCACCTCCCGTGAACACCTGGACCCTAACCTGCTCTCCCTAAGATGCTGATTCTGATGGGATTGGTGTAGCCGCAAGACCCCCGTGTTCCTTATACTTTGTCCCCTACTCAGCAGTCACTTCTGCACACACAGGGCATCAAAACACAATCCTGGCTTTTCATCCTCTGCTCAAGAGCCTTTTCCATCCTTCATGGTCCCACCTGAGAAGAACGAGCTGACTGTTCTCCCACTTTCCTCTTGAAAAGGCTTCCTCTAGGTCCGCATGTCCCAGAGTCCTAGGCTTGTGCCTCCCACAGTCATCCAGTGTCTTCTGTACTCCCTGACAAGTAACCCAGTTTTTCAGACCAAAAACCTAAATTGCCCTTTACTTCTGTTTTCCCACTTGCACCTGTTTTTATAGCCTGCAGGAGATTTCTGGTTTCATCACTTCCTTCCCTGTCCATCCACTCACAGTTCCATAGTGGGCTTTTCAAGTTGAGACAGCAAGGACCTCTGGTACTGGTTGTGCTGACCTCTTTCTCTGCCTCCCTTCTTGCTCTTCAAACTAAACTTCCAGAGCTCCCAATAGAACCATGTACCCATGGTGTCCTTTTGGGCAGGTAGATACTTGGTTCTTTGGTTACACCTGAATTGCTTACGCTGTAAATGAAATCTGTGTCTTGTGAGTGACCAACATGAGGACCTGGGGAGTAGAATTGGAGCCATTTTAGAATCTTCTGGGCCTTCTTGGCACCTACTGAGTATCTCTTTTTCTTGCTGGCTTGCCTTCTCTTGACTTCCAGCCTGCAAATACCCTAGTCCTTCCCTTCTCCTGCCTAGTAGGAGGGGTACAGACTAGTGCTGCTTTCCTGCTTTCCTATAGAGTCATCTACAACTGTTACTTTTGCTTTATACCACATTCAGAGGCTCATGTGTAACCTGAGGCTTCCTCTGGCTCTTAATTCTTCTTAAAGACTAGGACCTTCTGTACCCTGGCTTTTGCCCAACAGTGCGATACACCTGGAGCAGTCTCTAAGCACTGGTTCTGTCAGCATGAGCCCTATCAGCGCTTGGCCCAGAAGGTGGCAGTGCAGCCTGAAGCAGAATGGAGACTCTAAGACTCTGCCCACCTTTGCAGGAGGGAAGACTTCTTGTGGCACTGTGGGGCAGCTCTGTCCCTGGGATTTGTCTGCAGATGACAGTGTCATTGCCCTTATATTGATACAAAAACATTTTCCTTTTTCAGAATGAGTCTGCAGGTCTTAAATGACGAAAATGCCATCAGTGACTTCCTGTTTTCACCACCAGAACTTACCGGAAGATCATCTGTCCTTCGTCCGTCACAGAAGGAAAATGTACCACCTAGAAACCAGGCCAAAGCTGCAAAGGTGAGTGGGGAGCCCTGAGCTGCATGGTGCTGCCAGCGTGGTCATGGGGAACTGCATCATGGAAGAGACACTCTCCTCTTCACCCTCCCACAGGTGACTTTTCAGACACCTCTGCGAGATCCACAGACGCACAGGATCTTAAGTCCTAGTATGACTAGCAAACCTGAGACTCCTTTTGCTCTGGATAATAGCATTGGATTAGGAGACTCTCACTACACCTGGATACAGAAAGAGAAGTAAGTGCTGGTGTCCTTGAACATCTACAACTCTGCTACCTGAGGAGCATTGCAGGAGTGCTCTGTCTCCTCTAGGCTGGCTTTCTCCTGATCTCTGCTCTGAGCAGATGCAGGATGTGGCCTGTCGGGAGAAAGTTAATTAACAAGTACTTAGAAAAAGTTTTGACTTCATGCTTCACTTCTTTGCTGTGCCCTTGCCAGTTGGTCTTTGTTTCTGTAATTTGGTTAAATGTTCTGACTTTGTCTCCAGGGAAGATAATCAACAGTGTCCTTCCTCTCATATTTTGCTTATTTCCTTCTGCTTGAAAGTCTGCACTTGCAGAGAGCAGGTGAGGCTCATAGGCAGAGAAACTGTCCTATGGTACACTAGTCAGAGCACATGTGTGGCCAAAGGGATCAAGACAAAACACTTGACCAGCACCTTTGGGTGCTAGGCTTGGCCGATGGTCCACCAACCTATCAAAAATGAGTGACTAGAGCTGTTTCCAGGCAAAGCCCGAGCAGTTCTCCACCTGCCTGACCCCAGGGACAAGTCCGTGTCCAGAGCAGGAAGGGACCTCACTAGCACAATTTTGTGCTGGTTTTTGCATATTTAACTGTTCAAAACTTTTAAACACATTTCACATGTGAAGAGAAAAAGCCTAAGAAATATCACTACTGTGCTTCTCACCTGATTTAAATAAAATGTCACTAATAAATGAAGATATTTCTTTGGGCCATGTGCTATCTCCACCCTGTGGACACATCTCCCAACCTGAATCTACTGCTTTCCCATATGTCCTTGCTACTTTTCAACTTGATTTTACACTTTTTGAAATTTGGTCACATGAGATCAGAGTAAATCTCATGATCTTTGACAATTTTAAGAGGGAAGACTTGCCACTTGGCTGCCATGGATCTGGCCTGCTTTGAAGCCAGGAAGGTTCTTGCCTCTGCCCTGTGTCTCTGGGGCTGCCTAGCAACTGGCCATAGGGCAGGAGGTGGAGAGGAGCTGGAAGTCAGCTATGAGCTTCATCTGTGAGCTTGTCATCGGGGTCTCAGGCATGGTGTTACTGCCCTGTTTCCATTCATCTCCTTCCTGATACTTTGCTGAGTTACATGGTGGGGACAGGTGGTGGCTCATAGAGCATGTATTTATTGGGGAGAGCAGAAAGTGGCTGGCCAGACATTGTCCTAGTGTGCTGAGGTGGCAACCTGGGAGGGAGGAGCATAGCTGTGAGCAGTCGAAGGAGTTGAGAAGTTCCTTATCCCAATTTCTTAATTTTAATGTTTTCAAATTTGGAGAAAAGAATAGGGCTGTAATCACAGAGTCCCTTCTCTGAGTCACTGAAATGCTGAGGCTAGCCTCTTTTGAGTGATCCAAGATCACATAACACTTGCTCCAAAATGGCACTGTGCCCTCTTGCACTGTAGTTCAGTCCCCAGCCCTACCCTCCATCCGCCCACTGCCCTGACAGACCTTCCTGCCTGTCAGAGGCTCTGTGGTTCCATCACCCTGCTCTCTGCCACCCCTGTTGTTAGGTGTGAGGCACGACAGGGACAGCAGATCCCTTGGGAGATGCCCTCTGCACCCTGATGTTCTCCACGGCAGCCAACTGTCTGAAAGCAGCATTCCTGACCTTAATTTCCCTTTCCCTGTGAAAAGCTGGAACCATGTGTGCTTTGACCCCCCAGCCACTTAGCTCTAATCCCCACATTAGAGGAAAAAGTAAGTGAGAAAGCTTTCACTGGGACTGCTGGCTTATCGTGTCTCTACTCTGAGCCAGTGTGTGCCCTGATGCACTATCCTATGAACATGGACTTAGTAAGATTTAAGCAAGAGGAACGAGTTAGCCAAACATTCTTGTGTCTTCTGGTAATGTTCTCCATGTGGACTGAAATCTTGTTGAAAAGCTTAGGACCCTTGGCCTTAACCAGTCTGTTTCTGTGAAGCCAACAGATTACCAAGGAAGTGGACACCAAAGCTACAAATGGGTTTCTCCAGGCAGAAGCAGTGGCTGATATTGACCTTCCTCCAGGAGACATAAGCTTCGAAGCGTTTGAAAATAATGATGGCTCAAAAAAACCCAGCTTGGCCACCCTGGCTGATCCAAGCTCCTTAAGCTCTTCCCAGGACCCAGAAAGTCCTGAAAACCAGATGTTGTCTCCAAGACAAGTGTCTGACAGTCCGCGTCACGCCTCAAAAGAAAGTGTTAGCTCTCATTTCTTAGATGGAAGGATGCCATCCACCTCTGAGACCCTAGAAGATCCTCTGGGGACAGCACCCCAACACAAGATGGAGACCCCTCCCCGAGCCCCTGCAGAAAGTTCACACTGCACTGCCTCAACCATGGCTACTTCACCTGGTACCAGCCCTGAGAGCCCATGTGGAGGGGCCCTCCCCATAGACCTGGCCAGTGAGACCCCAGGCTCCCCTGAGCCAGCAGCCAGTGCCTTCCTGTCTCCCCACATCTATTCATCTGGTCCTGAGAACTCAGCCCCAGCTGGCCCTCTGCAGACTGATGGGGCCACAAACCCAAGTCCTCAGAAGGAAGAGGCCGTGGGCCAAATGACTGTCCTCCCAAGGTGTGAGCCCATAAGACTAGAATTCGATTTCTCTAATGAAACCACCAGTACAAGGCTGGCTCTACCTGGGAGACGGGGAAAGAAACCCAAGGGCAGGCAGGAGCAGGCCCCTCAGGAGGCAGCAGAGGGAGGCGAGAGCCCTGAGCCTGTTCCCCAGGACTCTCGCCTTGGCTGGAACAAACTAGATGACCCAAATTTCAGCCCGTTAGGAGGTGGCTCCAAGCCTGATGGCAAAGAGGCCTGGCCCCCAGAAAGCCCAGCAATCAGGTCAGCACCACCTGTGGCTGAGCAACCATGTATCAGACCCGCAACCCAGGAGGACTCGCCTTCAAGCCAGTGAGTATGGGGAAGGCATGTCGGGCAGCTGTTCTGTGTGTGACCAAGCGCCTGAGTCCAAAGTTGCCACTTGTCCTTTCACAGCACCTTAGAAGAAAGAGCCTCCGGGCTCAGAACCAAACGGGGGGGGGGGGGGGCGCTGGGGGAGCACAGGTGCTGGGAGCTTCCTCAGCTGATATGCAATAGAATGTGTTCAGCTTAAAAAAGAGAAAGAACAGCCTACCACCAGGTGAAAAGCGGTAAAGCCAGCACCACGGCACAGCACTGTCCCTGGGCATGTCCCTTCAGGGGGCAGCCATGACCTGTATTGAGTGCCATTATTCCAACACCAGACCCAGCCTGTTTCCTCTAGGGTGACTTCCTCAAGTCACATTGATGCACCTCTAGCATGAACACCTTCTCAGGTGAACCAGCACAGCAGTGCAGGAGACAGGCAGGTGGCAGCTCAGCGCTGGAGTGGGGAATGCGGTGAACACCAGCCTCTGCTGACTTTCTCTCTCCAGGCAGCTGTGTTCGGCCCCAACCAGTGACATACCTGTGGTGCAGATGGCATCTGAGACCCCAAGAGCAGAGGGCAAGGTACAGTGTGTATGTGTGTACATAGGTGCGTCCTTATACTATGCAGCCGTTTACATATTCTGTAGAGAAGTAGGAGGGCAGAAGAGGCCAGTGGAAATCTTCTGTCATCAGGCTGGATACACTGCTGCCCACCCCCCTTTCCCAAAGCCTCCTTTCCTTCTGGTGTGTTTTGAGACTGGGTGAGACAGTCTAACCCAGGGTTCTCAGCTGCGTGAGATGACATTGACCTTCCCTGTAGGAAGGAAGCTTGGCTCCCAAGAACTGTCTGGAGAATGAGCTGACAGCCCCCTCTGCTCAACTGATGCCCGCCCCTCCTCATCAGGGACTGGAGCCTGCCTCGGACCTGGAGGAGGAGTGCTTCAGGGACCCAGCTGAGGGTACGCAGCCCTGGTATTGCTCTGTTTGCCCGAAAGCTGTCCTGTGGACATTTCTGTTCTGTCTCTTGGTTTAGCTGTATCATTTACAGGTGTCTTTCCCGATTTTAAGTGATTATCATAGAAACTTCTGGTCCATCAAAAGATAAGGTATTTTCAGTAGAACAAAGCAATACTTTTACTATAGAGGACCCTAGACATATAAATTGTGGATTTGCAAAGTAGGCAAAAGATGTGAACAAAGTAATGCACAGGTGAGATCCAGTGAGTGATGAGCAGCTGGGTACCCGCTGACAGACGGCATTCCTGTGCAGCCAGTGGGAACTTGTGACTACGTCACTTGAAGGATGAAAGGCAGCTGGTGAGAGCTCCCTGTTGGCTACTGTGGCCTGGTCAAGAAGTCTGGGACCTGTAGTCACATGTGCCGTGGCCTTTGTGCCTGGTCTCTTCACCAAGTATAAGGCCTTTGGGACTCATCTGGTGAGGCAGGGATCCGTGCTTCACATTTGTTCATTGATAAAGCACTTGGGTGCTTTCTGCTATTTAGCTCTTATGAGTAACACTACTAGTGGGACACAGTGGCCCACCCCTATAAATCCGTCTACTCAGGGTGCTGAAGCAGGAGGGTCATAAGTTCAAGGCCAGCATGAGTGATTTAATGAGACCCTGTCTCAAAAAGTAAAGGGCTATGGGGCTGGGATTGTGGCTCAGCGGTAGAGCGCTCGCCTAGCACATGTGAGGCCCTGGGTTCGATCCTCAGCACCACATAATAATGAAATAAAGATAATGTGTCTAACTAAACTAAAAAATAATAGATATTTAAAAAAAAAGTAAAGGTCTAGGGAGGCAGCTCAGTGTGAGTGCTGTGGGTTCAATCCCCAGCACCAGGAGGGTAAAGAAGAGTGACAATACTCTGCATGCTCTTACACAAGTGTGTGCATGGGTCTGTGTTGTTTCTCTTGGGTGCATACCTGGGGGTGTAATTACTGGATCCTGGTAACTATACATGGCTTTTTGAGGAACTGCCAGACGGTTTTCCTAAGTGGCTGCACCATTTTACACTAATGTCTGTGGCTCAGGAGGGCCCCATTTCTCCACAGGCCCTCCGGTGCTTGTCATCTCTTACGGGTTCCAGCCTCCTGGCAGGCGTGAAAGGGATTTTCATGATGGTTTTGGCTCATGTTTCCCAGACAGCTAGCAAACATCTTTTGAGCACCTTCCCATGTGCTCGTTGCCTTTTGTGTATTTTTGGACAAAATGTCTTTTCACATCATTTGCCCATTTTTTAAATTTGGTTACCATCTCTTAACTGCATAATTGTTGCCACCACATAAATATTATTAATATTGAAAATAATATTATGTTTCCTATCTGAATATTGGTTTATAACTTTCGTTGAACAATAGTTGCAATGGTTTAACTGTCCATCAGGCCAGTGAGAAGAGAGTGGGAATGTGGTTCAGTAGCAGTGCTGACCCACATTAGGGAGCCAAGCAGCGGCGTCTGCATGCACACTGAGCCATGGGCCCAGAGTTCTCAGCACCTTTGCATTGTCTAAACAGACCTAAAGTTGTGTGTGATTTGTTTAGAGGCTGCTGCACTAATGGCAGACAGTCTTCAGTGCCACTCCTGTAAGCCCTGTGTGTGGTTCCTAACAACCAAGTCCATGCTTTGCAACACTGTAGTAAATTTTCTCAAGTGTAATATTTTCAATAGAGTGCACAAATCAGTAACAACTGATGTACTAATATTTTACTTTCCCCAAACCAGAAAAATGTTTAGTAAACTGTCAGGAAAAAATGATGTGCAATGATTTGGATTATTCAGTTTTACAATTTTAACATACATTCAAAAGCATTCCATGCATCCTAACTTTATGTACCAAGGACAGTTTGGTAATGATGGCTTTTTTTTTCTTTTTTTTTTTTTTTCCTTTTGGACTAGGGATTGAACCCAGGGGGACTGTACCACTAAGCTACATCCCCGGTTTTCTTTTTAAGACAAGGTCTTGCTAAGTTGCTAAGGTTAAGCTCAAACTTGCCTCACCTCCACAGGCGCTGGGATTATAGGTGTGCATCCCCATGCCTGGCTATTAGTAATAAATGGTTTTGGTTTTGTTGGGTTTTTGTGGGGTGTGTGTGTGTGTTTGAGAAAAAGGAGAAGTTTCATTGCTTTGCTAGCAAAGGAAAAAACACTGGGGACTCTTGCCCCGGAGGCTGTGATTCTGCTCATCAGCAGGAACAGTGGGCTTTTAAAAAGGTGATTCAAGGCCATGTTCCATGTATTCTGTTGGAGCTGTAATTCACTTGATAATTTGGAAGATAGTGATTTCTGAGATCTTCTGATGCCATCCCCAAAGTCTGGATTACCATGTCCACTTTAAAAATAAGTTGCAGTGGCAGAGCAGCAAGGGCTATACTAAAAGCATAAAGTGACCACTGTTCCATTTCCTCACTGTCGATTTCTACATTCCATTTCTATGGAAAAATGATGACATCTCCGAGCTGCTTCCTGCTGAGAGAAGGCAAAGTTGGGGGAGTAAACCAAAGTCTTGTTCTCTGTCAAGTGGGGTGTGAACAATTAAGGATATACAGCATCAGAGCAGTCCAGAGGTCCACAGTGGCGGATGGCAGGCGAATGGACAAGGTATACATAGGGCAGGGATCTCAGATGGCCAAAGTTGTCATGACTTTCCTGAGTTCAGTTTCCTTTTTCTCAAAGTGGATCACAACCTGTACAACTCGGAGAAGGCAGGAGTTCCTGAAGCAAAAGGAGCTTCAGCAGCTGCTGGGACGCCCCTCATCCCTCCCCTGACTGGGGAACAGCTCCTCTGGTTTGACCCGAGGCATACCCGCCCATCTCCCAACTCTCCTGCAGTTGCTCTCAACAAGTTTCCCGCACCATGAATCCTCAGCATGGAAGTGGGTTCCTTGGAGAGCCAGGCCTGCCCAAGAGTACTAGAGAGGGGTGCTCTTGGGCCCCACCTGGGGTGCCAAATTTGTTACTGAAAGCTCAGTCCCTGTCCCTGATGTCAATCTGATAATGAGGACACAGTTTTAAGGAAAAAAGAGAAAAGTTTTATTGCTTTGCTAGCAAAGGAGAAACAAAGTGGACTCTTTGTCCTAGAGGCTGTAATTCCTGATAATAAATGAGTTTTTTTAGGTGGTTTACATTTTTTTAGTTGTAGATGGTCACAATATCTTTATTTATTTATTTAATTTCATGTGGTGTGAGGGTAGAACCCAGGGCCTCACACGTGTAAGGCAAGTGCTCTACCTCTGAGCTATATAGCCTCAGCCCCTAATGAATGATTTTTAAGTAATACGGCGTAATGTTTTTAAGCTTCACAAAATGGTCACAACTCTCTTTTGACACAAAATCTGCAAAGGCTATGTGGTGAAATATGGTATCTTTTTGTTAACTGAGAGGTCAGTCTCTTGTTAGGTAGGACTTGAGGACACAGTTGGCCCCTGTATCCATGGGTTCCACATCCTTAGATTCAATCAGTGTTGGATAGGAAATCTTCAAAGAAAAACTGCATCAGCATTGAATGTGTAGAGAGGATTTGCTTACCACATGCAACCAGGTTCTTGGTGGGGCTCCTCCCAGAACATGGAGAAGCCTCTGGCCTGTGGCTGGAAATACTAGCTGCATTTATTTCACCAAAGAACTGTGGTCCCTCCCTAACAAGCACTTTGGAAAGCACCGTTGTACAGCTGTAGGCTCAGGTGTGAAGAGTGACCCCACTGTGACTCTCTCTCAGTTCTAGGCACAGGTGCTGAAGTGGACTACCTGGAGCAGTTTGGGACTTCCTCGGTAAGTGGCAGGCTCTGATAGCCTCAGCAGAGGTCTGTACCCCAAGACCCAGCCCTGCTGCTGTCACCCTGTGCAGTGCTGGCACTCAGCCCTTGGGACTCCCACAGCACTGGCATTGTGGCCGAGTCTCTGCAGGGCCCCTTTCTTATAGCGTCTTGTCCCAGCATCCTATGGTCCTGGCACCTGTGCTGAGACCTGGTAGACACCCACAGTGCTGGATAGGTGGCCTTCAGGCAGTGGTAGGGACACCGGAAGCAGGCCAGGCGTGTCCTTCCCCAGGCCCCTTGTCAGCGAGCAGGTGGCCCAGCTCGTGGGGCTGCACCTGTGGGATAGCAGAGGAGCCTGTCACCTTGCCCTTTCCCTCCAGTTTAAGGAGTCAGCCTGGAGGAAACAGTCCTTGTACCTGAAATTCGACCCTCTGCTGAAAGACAGCCCTCTGCGACCAGTGCCCGTGGTCCCAGTGACAACAAGGTATGTCCCCTCATCTGTGGAGCTTTTAACATGGGCCAGGGGAGTGAATATCCTCTCGACTAAGGGGGTTGATCTGAACTAGAAATCAGTCGTGGTGGCAGATAAGCAGGCCATGAGCTGCAGCCAGTCTCATGTGGTGGGGCTGCTGACCCTCACCATACACACCACCCTAAGTTTTTAAAGGCCCTAATTGTTAAAATTAAGAAAAGTAGATCCTGTAGAACAGAGGCCAGTATACCATAACCTGTGGCCAAATTCTGCTCACTGCCTATATTTTACTTAATTCATTTATTTAGTCATTCATTTATTCATTCGTTTGTACTGGGTACTGAACCCAGAGTTGCTCTATTACTGAACCACATCCCCAGCCCTTTCTATTTTTTAAGACACTATGTTGCCCAGTCTGACCTTGAACTTGTGACCTTCCTGCCTCAGCCTCCTGAGTTTCTGGGATTACAGGCGTGACCACTACACTCAGCTACATATACTTCATAAGTGAAGCTTGTTGGCCCAAGGTCACACCTGTTCCCTCACAAATGGTCTGGGTAGTAACTCATGCTACAGGGGCAGAACTCAGTAGCTGTGACAAGCTGTGTGCCCTTCAAATCTAAGAGCTATTAGGCATCTGCAGAAAACCCAGGCTGACCCCTGCTCTGGAAGAAAGAATGGGCATATTTGTCTAATTTCAAGGAGAATGACTTAGCATGGTATGGAAATTTAAAGCCAGGGGAGAGAAAGGGCTGTTGCCTCTGGCTGTGAGAATTCTCTGTACTGTGAGGACCCACAATTAAGGCTCTTCCCACTGGAAACATCTGCTGTGGACAGTGCAGCCATGGGCCTTGAACACCAGGAAGGAGAGCAGCTGTGGGTGATGGCAGGCAAGACGGGAGAGGACCCAAGTCATCAGAGATGTCCAGCCTGCCAGGTGCAGTTCTGCATCCTCTACTATGAACCTGAAAACCAAAAGCAGAGTGTGGTTAAGATTGGACATGGCAGCTGGGTGCAGTGGTGCACACCTGTAGTCCCAGCCGCTCAGGAGGCTGAGGCAGGAGAATCACAAGTTCAAAGGCAGCCTCAGCAAAATCAAACTGCTAAGCAACTCAGTGAGACCCTATCTCTAAATAAAACACAAAATAGGGTTGGGGAAGTGGTCAGTGGTCGAGTGTCCTAAGTTCAATCCCCTGGTACCTTTTTTTTTTTTTTTTAAAAAAAAGACTGGACATGATGAGGTGCGGTGGCACGCCTTTGGGGCCAGCTGCTTGGCAGGCCAAGGCAGGAGGTTGGTAGGTTTAAGCCAACCTGTTCAAGGCCCTGGGCTCCATCCCTCACACTGGGGCGGGGGGGACGTGACTGTCCCTCCTGTCCTTCTCAATGGAGAACGTGTCAGTGACCCTGCTACCTATTTAGTCTCAGCACACAGGATGCCGATGAGCCTTCCTTGGGAAACCCGCTGGAAGCCAAGCTTGTGGAGTTGGATTTCTTGGGCACGTTGGATGTTCCTGTAAGCATCGAGGTCTCTTTGGAGCAGTCTTTTTGTGGTCTCAGTATATGCGGGTGGGGGCTGGGGCTGGGGCTCAGTGGTAGAGCGCTCACCTTGTATGTGGAAGGCACTGGGTTCAATCCTCAGCACCACATTAAAAATAAAGGTATTATGTCCATCTACAACCCAAAAGATACTTTAAAAAAAAAAAAAAAAAAGACGTGGGTAGCTTACGGGCCTATGTTTTATGTTCCTGAGGGTCTGAAGACATTGGGTCTGATGATGGGGCAAGGACCCACTGGCCATTCCATGACAGACGAGATTTCTGCTGTGGGGCCCTCACTGGGCATCTCTGCCTGGTTGTGGCCCTGGCTTCTGGTGAGAGGTTAGAGACAGCAAGGCAGCTCCCATCAGCCTGTCTATCGCCCTCACAGGCACCGGGCCCACCCGCATGCCTCCTGGAGCCTGGAGGCCCACCATTGTCTGTCGGGCCTATTGTGGACGTCCTGCAATACAGCCAGAGGGACCTGGATGCAGCGGTAAGGACCCAGGCCAACAGTGCCCCTACTCTCCAGCTCTCCAGCCATCCTGGGGAGTAGCCAAGGACTGGGTACAGACAGCTTTGAGCACAGGGCCTGGTTCCTTGCTGGGTCCAGTGACCTTGACTGCCCTTGCTGCTTTAGGTGGAACCATCTCTGTTGCAGCAACGCTGGGCCTGGTTTAGCCCTGGCTGACATCAGTCACTCCTCAGGGCCTCAGCCTGCACTGTAGCCCAAGTAGTTTAGGATTCCACATGTCCCTCCAGGTCCAAGCAGGCAGCTATCCCTACACAGAGAGATCAGCTGTCCCCAGTCAGCTAAGACCTCTGTCACCTCAGCCTCCCAGGAGGGGTTCAGTTGTGGGGAAAATGGCCGTGTGGATGTGGCATTTATCTGTGGGGCAGTCTCACTGCAGTGTGCCATGGCAAGTAGGCACCAGTGTCTCAGTGCTGAGGGTAGTAACTTGCTACTGCAATCCTGGGTCAAACCCTTTCCAGCACCCCAGCCCCCGTGGATGTGGCTCTGGGCAGGATGGAAGGCTTGTCTTCACTTTCTTGGAGTCTGAAACCCCCTGCCCTTCATATCCCACGCTTCAGCCATCTCTCCTTGCTCCCTGGATATGCAGAAACCTCAGCCTGTGTTAACTCTGGTTCTGGGTCACCTCAGAGAACCTGTGTGCACAGGGTCACACAAAGGGTCCAGGTGCCTCAGGCCCCACTCTGAGCTGCCCTTATGCTCACTAGTCTGCACAGAGATGGGGCCAGGTAGCCCGGAAAGGACAGCTTGCAGATTGGGCTCAAACTATACATCTGCTTTAGTGTAGCTTTTTGTGACCCTCAGGGCAGTGTCCTCTTAGGGGCCTGTGAAACACACCTGAACCAGACACACCCAGGCTGCCCTATCTCGGTGCCCAAGCAGCCCTCTGGTCTTCGCTGCAAGCCCCACCCTATGGGCCTGGGGCTCACCTAACTTGGGCTTCTGGTACATACCTGACCCACAGCCAGTTGGAATGAAGTTGGGCTCACTGGGGAGGTACAGGTCCACAGGAGCAGCCAGGGACCCCACACCTTATTCACGTGAAGCAGGCAGCCCCCAGCCTGACCAGGTTTTAAGACCTCAAGGGTGGGGATGTCCCTGTGGGTGCACCCACCTGCCAACCACGTGTGGCTTGTTCAGGTAAGCGCAACACAGGAAGAGAACCTGGAGCTGAAGAGCAGGTGTGAGGAACTCCGCGTGAAGAACCTGGAGATGGGGTGAGGCTTGCAGCTGTGTTTGTCTCCCACCCAGGGTGGCCTGTCATGGGTGGCCACAGACAATCACATGCTTCTCCCACAGGAAGGTCATGGATGGGTTTGAAGGGCTTGTGTGCCAGGCAATGGGTGAGTGCCAGCTGCTTCCCCAGCACTTCCCCCACGTGTCTCCATCTGTGTCCCCTGAGCTGGTAGCCAGGGCCATGATTGCCAGGGTGGGTGACAGATGCTGCCTACCCAGTCCGCAGTCTACCCCACCATCCCATCCCATCCCCTCCCATCCCCAGGGGGCTGGGGTCCGCTGCTTCCTGCCCCCTGCAGAGCCTTACATCCACACAACCTGTGATGGGCCTCTGGATGGGCCTCAAGCTGAGCACAAGCCTCCAGGTCTCAGGGGGGCCCTGCCCTCTCTCCAAGGATCTGTCAGGCGCTGGCATGGAAGCAGCAGCTGCTTCTGGCCTGTCCTGCTCCAGAGATCCCAGCAGCAAGGGTTAATGGACAGAATCTAACCTGCTGTGCCCTGCCTCTCGTTCTGTGGCTGATTGTGGCACCCAGTGCAGGGGCTGCTCCCTGAGTCCTAGTGTTTGATTTTCTCAAGAGGAGGCCCAGAAACAGAAGGAGCTTGCCAAAGCTGAAATCCAGAAGGTTCTGAAAGAAAGAGACCAACTCACTATGGATCTGAACTCCATGGAAAAGTCTTTCTCTGACCTCTTCAAGCGGTTCGAGAAACAGAAGGAGGTGCTTGAAGGTTACCGCAAGGTGGGTGGCTCACAGTCAGTGCCCACGGTGCCGTGAATGGGGTGTCTGCCTGGGTCCTCTGCCCGATTTTCCCTGGCACCAGGGTGTGTGGGGTTCTGGGAACGGGATAGACTGTATCCAGTAGGTGCTGGTGAGTGGGAGCAAGAGTCACGCATGACGCCGTCTATGAGGCACAGGTTCAAGAGGTAGGAGGGACCTCGGCAGAAGCCCTAGCACATCTCCATGCAGGTACTGGGTGGAGGAGCAGGGCAAGGGGCAAGGCCTCAGGGCTGCGGGTACTCATGGTGTGGAGAGAGGGGACCTGCACAACAGCTGGTGGCAGCTGGCTTGAGTTTAGGGAGCGCTCTGAAGGGGGCCCCTTTCCAAGTGGCAGGTAGGAATCCATTCAAATGCCACTTCAAGGGCTGGGAGCATGGGGTACTAGGGTCACTGTGGCTCCTCAGCAGTCGGCTTCTCGCTGTGTCTAGGGACCACCATGGAGAGCAAAGCTGAGTGGGTCCCTCAGTGTTCATCATGTCCTCCTGCCAAGTGGGTCTGGGGGCCTGTGTGGTGGTCCCCTGCTTTCTGCAGCAGGGCCTGGCAATTCTGAGGACTTGAAGGCCAGGCCTGGGTCCCAGGGGAGAAGGTCCAGGGCCTGTCCCGTAGTACACAGCATGGAGGGAACCCTGCCCACTTAGCCTGGCACAGTGGACAAAATGGCACCCTGTTAAAGAGTTCTCATCTGCTCATTCCTAAGAACGAAGAGTCACTGAAGAAGTGCGTAGAGGATTACATAGTGAGGATCGAGAAAGAGGGCCAGAGGTACCAGGCACTGAAGGCCCACGCAGAGGACAAGCTCAGGCTGTGAGTGCTGGGTGGGGACCAGAATGGGTAGGGGCGGGGTGGGGCGGGGCTTAGCCTCAGCCTCTGCCCCTCCCTCTTCCAGGGCAAACGAGGAGATCACCCAGGTCCGGAGCAAGGCCCAGGCGGAGGCCTTGGCCTACCAGGCGAGCCTGAGGAAGGCACAGATGCAGATCCACTCTCTGGAGAAGACTGTGGAGCAGAAGGTGGGGTGTGAGGCCGGACCCTGGCTGTCAGCGCCTGCCGAAGGCCGCGCCTGCCTCTCCCTTGCAGCCGGTCTATCCAGGTGCAGGGGGCAGGGCCCTAAGCTTCCTGTAAAAGCCCAGCAACTCATTTTTAAATTTTTCCTTCAGACTAAAGAAAACGATGAGCTGACCAGGATCTGTGATGACCTCATCTCTAAGATGGAAAAGATCTGATGAGGGCCGTGGCCATACCTGCCTTCTCCTGTCTGTCTGTCCGTCTGATTTGTCTTAGTTTTGTGTTCTTCTCTCTTAACCTCAACTTCCTTTCAAAATAGGTTGCTTTTAAAAGAAGACTAAATAAAGTTTCCCTTGAGCTCAAATTCTAAAGTCACATTGTCCTGGATCTGGCCTGAGGCTGCCATGCCACCAGCTAGGTCCTGCCTTCCTTGCGCCTGGATAGCTTCCCCAGGAGCTGCCTCGGTCTCCGTTACTGTGAGGTGCCACCAGGCAGCACATGGGGTGGGACTCGCCTCGCCCCAGGGAGCTCAAGCCCTGCCTAGTCGGCCTGCCATCTGGTCAGCCACATAGTCCTGGGCAGGAGGGGCGCTGCGTCTCCGCCTCAGGACCACAGATGGGAAGCAAGTGGCCCAAGCATTCATGTGAGGAAACCAAGCCCTAACCAGCCAGGGCAAGACCTGGAGGCCTTGCACAGAGGTGGCCATTAGTTGACGTCTCAGGTTAACACCTGACATTCTGGCATGGGAACCAAATAGGTTTTCCTAAGAAGGAATTTTATCCTGCCTCAAGGGTGCCAGCCACTCTGCAAATCCTGACCTTACCAGCCAGAGAGGCAGAGGCAGAGCTGGGAAGAGCTGCCAGTGCTGCTGTGGAGCAGGCAGGACAGATGTCAGGACAGCCATGGTGTGATCTCCCTTCATTACGCAGCACTTGAAAAGACGTGGCCATTCCTGATACTAATAATATTAATGTTTGCTCATTTCAATTGTCTGATATCCGTTCTTACCCATAACTACTTTATATATAATATACAATTTTTTTTTTTGTAGGTGGACACAATACCTTTTTATTTATGTGGTGCTGAGGATCGAACCCAGGGCCTCACAAATCCAAGATCAGTGCTCTGCTGCTGAGCCACAGCCCTAACCCCCCAGTACTAGTTTTTAAAGATCAAAACTTTATTCTATTTACATCATAGGTAATCTGTTTACATTGGAAAGATGTCAAGAGCCTTAAGGAAGCTGAGCATGGTGGTGCATGCCTATAATCCCAGCGGCTTGGGAGGCTGAGGCAAGAGGATCACAAGTTCAAAGCCAGCCTCAGCAATGGCAAGATGCTAAGCAATTCAGACCCTGTCTCTAACATACAAAATAAGGCTGGGGATGTGGCTCAGGCAAGTGCCCCTGAGTTCAATCCATGGTATCCAAGAAGTTTTAGGAAAATGCTGCAAAGCAAAAATTTTGTAATTTCAAAAGCAAAAACGAAACTGTAGCATCCAGTGATACATGCTACATATGCCAATTTTAAAGACAAATTTCCTAAGGAAGCAATTGCCACTTAGCTATTTACATACCATAGAGGGTAAAGGGATTGAAAATGAACTGAAAGTTCCATTTCAGTTTCATTTGATAGTATGCTCTGGAAATCTGCAATCTAAAGAGCTAACGGAACTTATTAAGTACCAGGTGACATGTGCCCGTAGTCCCAGTTACTCAGGAAGCTGAGGCAGGAGGATTATTTGAGGCCAGACTGGGCAAGATAACAAGACCCCATCTTTAAAAAAAAAATACGTATATATTTAGTTGTTGATGGGCCTTTATTTTATTTATATATAGTGCTGAGAATTGAACCCTGTGCTTCACACATGCTAGACAAGTGCCCTGTCACTGAGCTACAGCCCTAAAAAAATTTTTTATCTAAAGAATATAGTTTATTTTCAATGCTAATTCCAGAAGGCTGTTTAATAAGTACGCGTATGGATCTTACTTTTCATGAGTGCCAGTTGTATTTGCTTAAGCATCAGACCCTGTAAATACCACAGCCTCCAATTCCTGTTGAGAAACGCCTTGTGAGTGGTGTTCCTTCTAGAGACTGAGCTGTTAATTAACTAAAGGGAGGAGCAAATGTCGAAGTTCGATAAATTCTAATGAGCTTCAACTTGAAACAAGCAACTAGATACATGGGTGCAGCTGGGATTACAGGTGTGCACCCCAGCTCCTCATAATGCCTTAAAAGTGTCCCCTGCTCCTTTAGTGCCTGAAGCCCATTCCTTCACAGCCACAAACAGCCCAGTCATGAGCTGGTGGCCCATTTTAAGTCTTGACCAAAGCTCACTGTCTACAACAAAGGCATGTAGGTAAGAAATAGTAAGTCAACAGGCCCCACAGGTGCCAGGGCTGCATCCTCGGCACCCAGAGCTGGCTCAGTGGGGCTGGTTCCACAGAAGGGCCTGTGTATGGTACAGGACCCCTGGGACAAGCTGAATGCAGCTCCACAGTCCGTAGGAGCCCTTCTGAACAGGCCCAGGCTTGGTCCAGCTGGGCATCCTTGAACCCCTGGACACTGGACTTGAATTGTGACCCACCTTGGCCTCCAGAACAAGCCAGAAGGCCCGGGGTGGGCAGGACTGAGAGTACTGTGCTCCAGGGAGCTGATGCTGCAAGGCCTGGACCACAGCCCCGGGGCCCGGCAGAGGAGCAGCAAATGAAAACTATTCCTCAGGGACAGATGCCAAGGCCTGCGGACAGAGCCTGAGCCACAGCGGGGTATTCTAACAATGAGGAACAGGGTCCCACCCAGGGAGGGGCCCAGTCGAACACCTGGCAAGATACTGGTCACTCCAGTAATCTCTGAACATCCCTCAGCCAGAGCAGAGTCTCAGTACCTGCCTGCGCTGGGCCAAGAGAGAGGGTTGATGACTCTCGAGGGGAGCAATGTGCTTGGCTGCCACCAGGGGTCGCTGCTAGCCATGGACCACAGAGCCAGGATTGGACCATAGAGGCCAGGTTGCGATGCCAAAAGCCCCTGTGGACCTCCGGAGAAGTGGAGGAATGGAAGGGGGGCTTCAGAGGACAGTCTGAGGAGCCCAGCAGCCTGGGCAGATCCCTGAGGCTCCAGGAGGCGAGCAGCATCTGTGTTCAGCCTATCTGCAGAAAAGCGCCTGGTAGGTGGCAGAAGGCCTTGTGGGCTGTGCAGGCATTCCTAGGCAGGACAATGGCCCGCTGCAAATGGGGACTGGGGGACCTCCCAGCCCTAAGCCTCAGGCCTCTGTCCTTCTCCCTCAGAGTCCTCCAGGCCCCACCCCCTTGTTCCATCCTAGTCAGCTCTTCCAAATCCCATGGATCTCCTGACTGGCCTCCTGGACTACCCCCTTCCACACAGGCACCTCCCAGTTCTGCTTGGACAGATGGTGGGTCCACCACCTCCCAGGGGCCATCCAAGAGCCTGCCAGGCCCACTTCACAGACAAGGGTGCTAAGGCCCACAGGGGTCGGTGCCACTGTCAAGGGAGGCTCTGGCCAGACAGTGTGTGGGCAGCACCTCTGCTGCCCTAGCTGGGGTTGTGGGTGGGGCCTACAGCCCCCAGAGCTTATCATCTGCCAGCAGGGTAGGGGGGTTGGCAGGGCTCCCACCTCTTTGCAGGTCAGAGGTGGACTGAAGAGGGCTACAGAGGCAGAGGGCTGCAGCCAGGCCCCTCCTCACCAGCCCTGCCTACCTGGCCACTCCCATCCCTCTGTGAGCTGCTCAGGAGCCTGTCCCCCACTGGGGCCTCTCTGAGCCAAGCCCAGAGTCTGCCCAGAGAAGGCCCCATGGGGCAGCTAGACGTGTTGGGGCAGCCGGCCTGGCCTGGGGCCGTGCCGAGGACAGCGGCCTCTGGGCAGTATCCTGGGCCAGAGCCTCTCTGCAGGACAAAGGGGCCTTGTGTGTCTGAATGGGTATTTATCCTGGAGCCTGAGTTAACTTGGGGCCACGAGGCCAGGTGGGGGCCCTGGCACTGGCCCTCAGCGGGTAAATATGACCCCAGCTGGGCACACAGCAGTGGGTCTAGACTTCCGAAGCCCAGTGTCCCTGACATCTACGCAGTTGGTGCCCCCAAGGCTTCCTGCCAGGACAGGACATGGAAACAGGGCTGCCCCAGGCACCACCTCCAGGTGCCACAGCAGAGTAGGAAGGGAGGGATCCTCAGGGAGGTGAGCCACAGTGCCCCTGCCCAAGCGAGGGGAGATCCCCAGACCTCTGCTGCCCAGTGCCGTGTCCACCATCTCAGTGCCTGTGCTGAAGGCCACACCATCAGGGGTGCACATGGAGACTGGGCCTAGGAGGGAATTGGGGTCAGAAGAGGTCATGGGGTGGGGCCTGTGATGGGACCAGTGTCCAAAAAGAAAGGAGACCAGAGCTGCCACGTGAGGACACAGCAAGGAGGTGGTGTTGGCCGGCCAGGGAGCCTGCGCAGACCCGGGTGTGCTGACCCTGCCTCAGACGCCCAGCCCCCAACAGAGACAAGCCTGCTGTGGGAGACCCCGGGCAGTGGAGCACAGTAAGAGCCCACCATGGGAAGATGGGCTGCCTGGCCCCTGGCCCATCCACTGTGTGATCGTCCTCCTGTGGCCACCACCGTCCACAGCCTGGCTGGTGGCTTATGAGAGCTTTAGTCCCACACAGAGAAGCCCAGGTCCCCTCCAAGGGGCCATTGGCAAACATATTGGAGTGGGGCCCTGCCTCCCTCGCTGGTCCAGACCCTGGAGACAGGGCCAAGTGATCACTGCGTCTCCAAGCCCACTGCCCTCCATGCCTCATCCCACCCTGAAAGTCCCAAAGCTGCAGGAAAGGGTGCCCCTGGCCACCTGCAGACCCCACTGTCTCTAGCACCTCCTCCCGAGGCATGTGTTGCCCTAGCCAAGACTGACCCCACTCCCTGGGCCCTCAGAGTCCACAACAGTGAAGGTGGCCGCAGGTGAAGGAGGCACCCATGCGCCTCCTCCAGCCGCACACCCCATACTCAGGAAGGACTCCAGGGGTGTTGGTGCCAGTGACCTGGGCACACAAACCCGGGCTCCAAGTTTCACTGGACCCTTGGGCTGCTCTGGGTGGACTGAGCACAGGACTCTCATCCCCACTGAGAAAGTCCAGCAGGGCAGAGCCTGGCGGGTGGCCACCTAGTAAACGGGGACGTGCTGAGGAGTTTCAAGTCCTGTCTCCAGGGCTGCTGGGCTGGACAAAGCCGGAAGAGGGACCGAGTCCTTCCTCAGGTGAGCCAGGGGAAGCCACCTCTCGGGCGTGTGGGGTGGAGGGCATGCTGGTGGGATGCTGCACGTGGCCTGCTGGCCCTGCTCAGAGGCCAGGGCTCCCGCCCCGCCCGCCCTGCTATGG